AATCCTGGAAATGTTATTTATTGCATTTGAGCCTCAAATAAAATCTATCTTACAGGGCTTATTTTGTATAACTAAATGAATTAAATAGTGTTTACATACTATAAATGCTCCATAGTTTTTATCTATTATTATATGCTAAGCTCATAATTTTAACAAATATAGTTAAAGTAGGTCTTTTTCATCAGCAAAAGGGGGATATATAGTCATAGTATCATAATCTGTTCGTGAGTGTACTCATTTCTCAGATAAGGAAACCAACATACAGCTAATAGTCATGATGCTGGGGCAGGGCTCTTCGAAGATGCTTCCCAGTACAAAGGTTAGCCCAAAAGTGAGATGGGAGGTTGGGGTAACTTGGGATAGAATATGGCATTGGGAAGGAGTAAAATGGACACAGGAAAGAGTCAGGGAATGGAGGGCAGGAACTGACCAGTAAGTCAAGACAGACAATGGGAGAGACTAAGAAGTAAAGAGGATGAAAGGTTAACGAGTAAGGGAATACTTAAGGAACAGAGTAAAAGTGAAAAAGTAAGGATAAATGTGAGAGAAAGAAGAAATAAAAAATATTTTTAAGTCAATTACAGAGAAAGGGAGATCATATGAATAAATGGCTAGACAAATAAGTGGGTGAATAAGAAATCAGTGAAGTGAAGATGACCATGGGGAAAGAGTTGGCTCATATATTTTATAAAGTAGATTTTACCTATAATGTCCTATTTAATCTCCATGGTAACTCTGTAAGGAGTGAAAAGTGTGGATATTATTTTCCTCATTTTACAGAGTGAGAAATCCCAGGCTTACAGAGGTAGTTAAATCACTTGCCCCAGACTGCCATATGAATCAACGGAGAGCTGAAATCAGATCCCAGAGCTCATAGCCCCTTCTCCAACACTACACCCTTCTCCTTAGGAACTGTAGTAAGGAGACTGAAGGGCATGATATCTAAATGAATCCAGGGTACCTAAAGAATGCAGACATTTGGTATGTTCTATCCAGAAAGAGACCCAAAGGCCCACTCCATGGCAGGGACCAGCATTCAGGTTTTGAATGTTTCAATCCTTGTAAAAATATAAATGGAATTCTTGTGGCTCCAAAAATAGGAGGCATACTCCTCCAGATTGTTTCTCTTTGATCTAGGTGATCCTCTACTATTTGCAAAGTGAACCATAAATTTGGTTTCACTTCACTTCTTCTCAAAACCTGCAGGCTACCCACTTGTCACAGAAGCCAGAGTGCAGCCTCCCATCTCCAAGCTCATCTTCCAGACTTTAATCCGTGTCCTTTTGATGGGGCCAATGTATTAATTGGCAGACAACGGGAAGAAGCACAATTTTCCTATAACCATTCTGAATTCCTCCTTTGATGTCCAGTTACAATTCTCTCTGCATGCTGCCGTGCATACGATCTCATCTGAATCAAATCCAGCTCCGATAACCCTGGGAAGCCACGACACTGCTTGGGGAGAAAGATTTATACACACAATTCTTTTCCACAGTAAGAAGAAATCACAGTAGAAAATATTGTCATCAAAACACTGGTGCTTCTTTCCTAAAGCTTTCTGCTGTCTGTGTGAGGTGACTTACTCAGTCTTCACCCTTTTTGGTCATGGTTTTATTAGCCATTCATTTTCAGGAGAGAGTTAACAAAATAAACACAGTCCCTAATGACAGTAGGAATACCATCTTGGGGGGCGGGGCAACAAAATACTTTTACATTCCCTCACATGACTTGAACTCTTGACTCTCAAAAGTGGCTGGAGAAGGACTACAAAGGAGGTAAGTGTTGGAATGTGGCAGGAATCTTGTGAGGTCCAAGAACAACAGACATGTTGCTTATGTCTGCTCTCATAGCATGAGTTTGGTAAGTGTACCTATCTCAAAATTCTACTTGTCTCCTCTGCATCTGTTCCTGTTTTTTTCACAATTTGCTCTCTGCCTGGGAGAGACTTCCTAAGACAGGACCCAAGCAGAAAGTAATGCTTCATCATAGCATTTCCACTTGAATTTCTACCATGTGCAAGACTTTGAGCCATGTTCTCCTAGTTGACCTTGTCTCTTATGCCTGCTAATTAGCCTTAACACAATTTATAACCCTTGAAACATAAGCATAATAATTTTGTTCTTCTTTCTAGTTCTAATTGGCACCAGTCATCATAGACTGAGCTAGGCAATATCTAAAATGCACTGCCCTCCCCACTGATCTCTGCCTTCTTTGTAAACCCCTCACTTTGAGTGTGGTCTGAATCTAGTGACTTCTAAATCATGGAATATGCCAAAAAATATGTTACTTCTAAGATTAGGTTACAAAAGGCTATGATTCCTGTCTTGCTCTTAGTCCTTCAGTTGTACTCTCTTTGCCCTCTTACTTGCTCACTTTCATGAAGCCAGCTGCCTTGTGAACTACCCATTAGGTAGTTCTGTAAGCTAAGGAACTAACGGAGGCCTCTGGCCACCAGCCAGTGGGGAACCAAGGCCCTCAGTCCAATGACTCACAAGGAACTGAATACCACCAACAACCATTTAAGTGAGGTTACATGGATATGGAAATGGAAACTTCTCCAGTCAAGTCTTCAGATGAGACTGTAACTCCAGCCTTGTGAGAGACCAAGAGCAGAGAACACAACTAAGCCATGACCACAGAAACTGTAAAATCATAAGTGTTGTTTTAAGCCACTAAGTTTTAGAGTAATTTTTTATGCAGCAGTTGAGAAGTAACACACAGGCTTTAACTCAATTAGGCCACTAAGTTGACATTGCAACACATTAGTTCCATCACCAGCCCTACCTGCCTTCCTTCACCCTCATGAGTTAAGCCCCTTCCATTCTGTGTACATTGCTTTATAGCATTGTTCAGTTTCCATATTCTCTTGGCCTGCTCTTAGTCCACTCTGTCATTACTCAATATCATTTCTTCTGGTAGCACCTGTATAGCTCATAACATTTTTATTTTTCCTTATCACCACTTAGCCTCAGCACATTCTCCAATTGTAGATGTTCAGTAAATAAGTGCAGATGATTTTTTTTAAATAATTGCAGATGATTTAAATGTCAACATTCATTTTAAGTAATTCACTTGAAAGATTTATTTAGTACCTATTACATGCTAGGTACCAAGGATAAAGCAATGAATAAATAATAGACACAAGCCCTGCTCTCATGGAGCTTACCATCTAGAGAGGAAGTTTGATATTGACACCGGTCAATTACATAGCAAACCTATTAGGTATTAAGTTCCCTAAAGGAAAGGTAAATGTGCTGCAAGAATATTAGAAATAAAGGGATTTTACTGAGTGAGGGAAATGAAGAGACACTCTCTGAAAAAGTGGTAACTGAGGCAGATTCTCAAGGGTTAGTGGGAGTTGACTTAGCAAAAGTGAGGAGGGAGTGGGGGATGGAGGGAGAAGGTGAAGCATTCCAGACAAAGGGAACAGTGTGTGCAAACTAGCATCTTTGAAGTGCTCAAAGAGAGCCAGTAAATCTCGAGATTAAACACAGAGGTGGGGTGTGATGTGAGATGAATAGAGAGGTAGGTGAGGGCCAGACCTTATCCTATCCTATTCTAGGCCAATTTTCAGGAATATCCAGAAATTTCCTGGAACAACTGCACTCTTTTGGTAGCATTACAGCCAAACAGGTGTCAAATATTCTTGGACCCTATATTAGGGAGTTGTTTTTTGAGACTTGCTTTGATGACACCCTTAAGTCAGGACTGGGGCGCCTGGGTGGCTCAGTCAGTTAAGCATCCACCTCCAGTTTGTGGGACTGAGCCCCATGTTGGGATCTGTGCTGACAGCATGGAGCCTGCTTGGCATTCTCTCTCTCTGTCCCTATGCTCTCTATCCCCCCACCTCTCTCTCAAAATAAATTAAAAAGAAAACATTAAAAAATCAGGACCATGAAGGAATGAAAAGATAAGGCCCTTTGACCACAAAGAGTGTGTATTCTAGTTGGAGATTTATCATTGAGAACACAACAGTCTCTAAATCACAACAATATAGTGCACATAAAATAATAACTCCCTAACTCACAATTAAACCCTAAGGGGGGAAGGGGAGATGAGTGAGGCATGAACCCCACTTAGTCTTGGCTACACCCAAGACCATTGTCAAGACCCTTTTTGGCTAAGTGAGTATCAGGCTCTTAAAGATGTTGTACAGTCTGGATCACAAGAGGAGAGGAAGAAATCTCAAAAAAATAAAAATGGAGACAGGGTCCAATGAAACTCATGAAAGACGGCAGAAGCAGAAGGAACCAAGAATACTTATAAGGAATTCTGTCCTGAATAGCTTAGCGCCACCATTCTCTCAGGGATCCTACTGCTCTTCTCATTTTATACAGAAATGATAGAGATGGCAAGCACATGTGACTCACATAGATACATATCATGCTGCATAGATACTAGTTGAACAGTTTGGGGAAGGGCCATTATATATGAGACCCTTCACCCACTATGGAGTCAGAGTTTTCCACAGAAAGAACCACATGGATTATGAATGGAATGTCCTGGAGCCTTGCTGAGATACCCTATCTCCTCCTCTTCCTCTAACTTCAAGATGCATCCAGCCTGTGTGGATAATCCCACAAGACCTCCTGTAAGGGTAGACTACTGCAGCAGCCCTCTGCCATGGGCAGAAGAGGTGGTGTGTGAACCCATCCATGAAAGCTTTGTTCATGAACTCTGGCCATATGTGTACAAGGACTCACCTCCTGAACTGACTCCTGAATACTTGAAATTTAATTGGATCTTGGAATAGTCTTCAGTGATCCTGACTGCATGGTTGTAAACTCAGATGCAACCATCCATGAGACAAAAACATGAACATTAAGTTCCAAATGTGCCACAATTTTTCAAAAAAAAATCCTCCCATGGAATTTTTAGACATATGCAGATCTTCACTGATTAAAAATGGCCACCATTTGTTAATTACAGTGTTCCTGGCACACTATATATTTTATCTCAGTCCACACACAAAATCTTTAAAGATGGTGCCATTATCTTCATTTTACAGATGGAGAAACCAAGAGTCAGAAAGATTAAGATAACTTCTCCAAGATCACAAGTAGCAGACTCAGGTGGGTCTGTTTCTGGGAACCAATAGCTCAACACCAACATTGTTTCCTCCTTGAAGCCTTGTGTGATATCTTCATTCACTATGCCCACATTGGACTTTGAACCCATTTATATTATAAGCTGAAAATACTATATAATGATTATTTAAGATTTTATGAAATTCTCTTTGAGGGCACTCCCTAGCACTGTGTCTGGCATATAGTGGGCCCTTCATTACTTCTAGAATAAATAAGTGTGCAGTGAGGCCATCTCTCTAGGAATAAGGTATGGACTAATTTTAGAGAAAAGAGTAACAATTATGCTAAGGAGCAACCAGAAACTGCTTACTGTCCTCCTCTTCTGACCCCAGAAGAGAAATTATTTTTTGAAGTGGATACTCAACGTCTTCCATACCTGCCAGAGGGAAGCAAGAACCTCTCTACTCCACCCTACCCCTCCTGCAGGCCTCCATCACAGAGCATCCTGGTCTGAGGACATAGCCTGGGACCCTAGGAATGCATTCTCTGGCTTCTGTAGTAACATCTTTCTCCATGAGGCAAGACCTAGGAATGACTTAGCAAAACTCAGTGAGAGCCCAGGGAAAGTGAGGGCTGCTGTGGTTTCTCCTCTTCCTGTGGAAAGATCAGCTGATCCTGGGCTCTCCCATGGGGACTGGGCTGCTAGCCTGATGTCCCTGATCTATTCACTTGGTCCCACAACTCCTTCTTCTCTTTCCTCAGGGCCAGGATGACACCTCAGTGGACTCACATCTGAATCATCCCAGGAAGTCTAGAGGGAGGAAATGAGAGGTGAGAATACATGTTCCTTCCCTGGCTGAGTGCATAGTCCTAGTAATAATAATAACTGGCAGTCACTTCAGGATCTTCAGGGTAAAAAAAAAAAGACAACTTTTTAGCAGATTATGCATCCATTAAAAACACCTACAATCATATTTGAAACAAAAAATCTAGCATCTTGAGAGAGAGGAAAATTGGCGGTGTTTTTCTAACAGTAGCCAAAAGTGATCTAAGAATTTTTTTTTTAATTTTTTTTCAACGTTTATTTATTTTTCGGACAGAGAGAGACAGAGCATGAACAGGGGAGGGGCAGAGAGAGAGGGAGACACAGAATCGGAAACAGGCTCCAGGCTCTGAGCCATCAGCCCAGAGCCTGACGCAGGGCTCGAACTCCCGGACCGCGAGAGTGATCTAAGAATTTTAACCCTTCCGAACTCTAGTGCTGACTCAAAAATTTGGAGCTACCACTTCTGGATGACCTGGCTGGAGAACAGTTTCATGGCCATAAAAAATTTAGTATGAGTACTGAAGAATTTACCACGCTATATGGAGAAAAGCAACCCACATATAGAATTTATTGTGATTGATTCCAGTATGTGTGTCTGGAGAACCCCCAAAGCAGGGCTCCATAGCAAATCGACATTCTGTACCAGCCACTATTCCAGGAGCTTTATAAGTATTAACTCATTTAATCCTCACAACAGCCCCATGAGGTAGACCCTACTAGTCTTATCATTTTACATATAAGAAAACTGAAGCAGAGAGAGAAGAACCAACTTGCCTGACAGCTGGAATGTGGTAGAGAGGGGTTCAAACCCTGGCAGTCTGGCGTCAGAGCGTATTATATAAGCTAATCCTTGAAAAATCCCTCTGCAGTGGCTATCATTCTTCTCATTTTACAGATGAGGAAGCTGAGGTTCTGAGGATGTTAAATGATGGAGTTAGATATAGAAGCAACGAACTGACATAGGAAGTGACTTCATTCTGCTTCCAGAGGGTGAGCTCCTGTGGCATTATGCTTAACTGAAGCTCAAATGGAGTCTGTAACAGGAAATATTATCACCAGAAAGGCAGGGATTGTTCTCTAGATGATTCTAGGACTGCTAATTTTGTCCTTGCAGGATGTCCTATTCACAGAATGGCGGATGCCACCACCCAGCGACAAGCCAAAGGCCCCTTCTCAAAACTCTGACAAGTAAGGGAAGCAAGCCAGCCTGGCTCCCAGCTATACCCAACATGTCTCTTTGAAACTCACTTCAGGACCTAGGAAAGAGCTCGAGGACCAGGCCACAGGCTGTCTGTCCTACCTGGTAAGTTCCAGCTAAGAAGTTAGGATACCAAATGAAATCCCCCACATGTACTACCTTCCTTCTAATTTCCAGCCCCCTCTGCTGTTTACGAAGAGTAAAAATGGACAGCTGCCTTCTAAGGAGCATTAGGTGGCCTAACCAGTGCACAGTGATTTTCAGGACTGATGTTTGCAATTATTCTACACTTTTGACCAATGCCTGCTCCATGGAAGAGGGGTTCATGACTAAGATAAGAAGGTGCCACTTATGTTTGGCCTCTGGGGGAACTATATTTGCCTTGACTCCTCTCCAAGCATGTGGTTTGCATTACCTTGGCCAGAGACAGCAACTGGGCCCCAGTCTGCACTGTGTGCACAGGAAACTTCACAAAGGTTTTCGTATGGAAAGCATTTGAGGCTGTGTCAGTCTTGGCTGTTGGGACAGGTGGGGTGCAGCCGGCAGCTCTGCTCTCAGCTGCCAGACTGCAGGGAGAGACTTGCCTCTTTCTGCAAGGTGTTTCCAATAAGAGGGGCACATTTCCTTCATTAGAAATAAAACAAATACAGATTGATGATGTTATGGCGTTTCTCAGGAAAAGAGGAAAACAGTTTTCAGATGTCCTTATTGAGCTTCTCTCATGTGCTTGTGGGTGGGGCTGGTATGGGGAGGAGAGAAGTATATTTATGGGGAAAGCAAGAGGAGCACCCCCACAATTCAACCACTGATCCTGCCTTCCCAAATTAGAGGGGTGGGGGTGGTACCTGCTTGGCTACATCATAGACCACAAGGGCTTGAAGACACAGAGTCCAGCCTCCCTGTTTGGCAGATGAGGAGGGAGGCCAAAGACCTCCACCAGCAGTCAGGGTAGAGCTACAGAAAGAACCTGCAACTCCTAATCCCAGTCCAGTGTGCTTTCTGGAATATTCCATTCCATAGGACCACCTCAACAATTAAACATATATCTATTCATGTGTAGCTTTAAGGAAATGGTTCTCTACTTGGATTTATGTAATAAATGCTTTGGAAGTTTACAAAAACACCATTATACCCAGGCCTACACAAGGTCCAAGAAAAATTCAAGTGTGATCATGACTGAGCTATCTATGTCTAAAGGACCAATTGGAGTAATCACTACTGTTTATTTCACCTAAGCAAAGCTTACTCACCTTTCCAGGACTATCTAAAATTACTCCTCTTCCATAAATCCTTTTTAACAAGACCACAAATATAGTTGGCATACCTCTTCTCTAAACTCCTACACTATCCACAGGCTATAAGCAAACAATTTAGCACTAAATTATATACAATTTCTATTGTTAAACTATATTAATCATGAAATGAAGGCTTTCACTTATTCAGTTCATACTATGTGCCAGCCACTCTGCTTCATGCTTTCCATGCTTTGCCACCAATATTCCTAGGAACTCTACCACACTCCATCTGTACCCACTATACAGATTAAGAATCTGAGATTCATAGGTGTCAAGTATGTTGCCTGAAATGAGATAGCTAGGAAGGGCAAGTAAATCCAGGTCTGTATGCTCCAAAGTTCTTTCCAATGCCTCATTTTGCATCAAATATAAACACTATCTATTATAACATATACTCCTGATATGATTTTACAAGCTATAAGCTTCTTTGACGTTCATTCTCTTATTTAATCCTGACTATAGCACCACTATCCTTGACAAGCAAGGGCATAGAATTTGAAAAACTTAGGTAAAAGGCTCAAGATTCCATGGCATAGCCATGAACCCAGGTATTCTGACTCCAAGTGCAGGGCTATTTTCACTGCTCTCCTGTGCCATGTGCCAAGCTCTATTTCTTTTGATCTAAAGTCCCTTAAGGATCTATACTGTGTTTTACATAGGCAGTCTATTGCTTTATTACTTGATTTTCCAAGAAGTACCAAGAAAGACTTCATGAGGCATTCTGTCCCTAAGGACCTTAAAAACAAAACACAGTTCTTTGGGGGTTGGAAAGAATTGATGAGGAGGCATAACTGATTCTTTTTAGTGCGTTAAGTCATTGTTTTTTGTTTTTTGTTTTTTAGAGCCTTCCAGTCACTTCCACATATTTTTGAAGGTATTATTTTCAACTGTCTGAACAAATAACAGAATCAAAGGGTAATGTGAACTAAGTGATCTACCTGTGATCATGGAGTGGACCATGGAAGAGAGAAAGAACTTCCATCCACCTCTCCCAAAAGTCTCTGATTTGAATCCCTACCTAGGAGTTGGCAGTGTTTTTAAAATTAGTTAGTCCTGTCCCATATCATTATCCAAAGGACTCAAAGTGGCTTGGAATATGAATAGATAAAATAAATAATGGTAAAATGTAAACAAGTAAAGATAACCAAGGCTGGATAAAATTAAAATATAAAAAGTAAATTCAAGGGGAAAATATTAATCACAGAGGAAACGTTGCCTTAGAGCCCAAAATACTGCAGTGCATTTAAAATAGATATTCCATGTGTGGGGTTCAGTTGATGATGTATTTTTAAGGTTTTAGTAACTCCTGTGGGGTTTCACTTCATGCCAGATATTGACCAAGAATGATTAAAGCAGTGAAACTATAGAGTTTATCTCCAGGATGTGGTCAATACGCAGTATTCATACATCCGTGGTTAAATAGATGTGTTTTCCAAGTCTAATGTTGCCAAAAAGACCACGTCAATGCTTTGTGCAGAACAGGATTTTTATTTCAAAAATAAGTCTGAATCATGACCATTCATTTAGCAAATATTATGACAATAAATTATCTGCCAGGAACGGTGCAGTACACTGGAAATTCAAAGGCAAATATGACATGGAACCTTTCCTATAGGACTTCTCTGTCTAGAGAAACAGACTTAAAATATATAATCAGCACAACCAAAATAAGTGTGATTATACAGATGTGTACAGTGGGTATAAAAGCAGAGATGGGGTCAACCACTTCACTGAGGTTGGCTGGTGTATCTTATCTTCTAACCAATACTCATCCAGTTACAAGGACATCAGGGTTCTGGTGCCATCCTTAATCAAGTGAACCTGGGGGGATCATAGAATAAATGATTTACCTTTGTGTCCTGCTAATTATCTCCACATTTATGATTTGATTGTGTGGAGAAATAAGGCAGGGAAAATGCAGTGTCCAGCTTAAAAACAGTGGCCAAGAGGAACAGAATGGAGAAATGTGAAGAAATGCTATAGCAAATCTTTTATAACAAACAGGTTAGTGAGAATAATTTTTTGGCATGGCATAGGCATTTTGTCCTTGGCAATCCTCCATATAGTAAAAGCATCTTCAGGATAAAAAAAAAAAAGACAACTTTTTAGCAGATTATGCATCCATAAAAACACCTACAATCATATTTAAGACAAAAAATCTAGCATCTTGAGAGAGAGGAAAATTGGCGGTGTTTTTCTAACAGTAGCCAAAAGTGATCTAAGAATTTTAACCCTTCCGAACTCTAGTGCTGACTCAAAAATTTGGAGCTACCACTTCTGGATGACCTGGCTGGAGAACAGTTTCATGGCCATAAAAAATTTAGTATGAGTGCTGAAGAATTTACCACGCTATATGGAGGAAAGCAACCCACATATAGAATTTATTGTGATTGATTCCAGTATGTGTGTCTGGAGAACCCCCAAAGCAGGGCTCCATAGCAAATCGACATATGCCTGATGTTATCTCAAGGCAAGTTTCTACTGTATAAACAAAAGCAGATAAAGAAACTTTTAAAGAAAATAACTTCCTCTTTTCTTCTTTATATTTATTCACAGGTTGGAAGTTGAGAAAAAAAAAAACTTAAAAAGAAAATGCTAAGAAATTCCAAAGCTGGATATGTCAAGGGATTAGATAAAGTAGAGAACCTTCATGAGAAATGTGTGCACACTTGTGATACAAAGCTAAGTCACCAGGAACTACAAGCACTGAACCCAAAGTCTAAATGTATGTGAAAGATGGCATTGGATTAAGAACACACAGGCCATGAGTGAATGAAACTCCCAGAGTTGACTCCCAGCTCCTCCGGTGATTCCATGACTCTGGGTGAGTTACCCGAACTCTCTGGGGTTCAGTTAGTCTTCTCACTTGAAAACAGGGTTGTTGTGAGAAGTGGATATAATTCATGTGAGGCTTAGCCCAACCCCCAGCACTCAATAAAGGCTAAAAACATGTTAGCTGCTATATTATAATCATTCTCTGGTGTAATCCTCTCAACCGTTCAAGGAATGTCCAATGATCCTCATTTTCCTGGTGGGGACATGGGCATGGAGATGGTAAGTGTCTTTGCTAAACAGTCCCACAGTTGACTTTCTAAGTCATAGCCATGCCCTGACTTCTTCCTTCTCTCCCTTTCCCAGGAAGATAGACTGCACACAGTATAGATGGTCCTTCATGTCTTTCTTAAACCCATCATGTCCCATGGCTTTCTCTCCAGCAACTCCCCCTTCCTAGTTCCCCAGGATCCCCACAGCTCTTTTTACCATGGGAACATTGTCTGTTTTGTTGCTGGCTTTTTTTCCTCAGCTATCCTATGCCATGGACACAAAATTACCCCACACTAAGCAGTGGTATTGGGAAAACCCTGACCATTTGGACATCAGCTTGCCAATCTCTGGAAACTTCTCCAAATATCACCTTTCCCTCAGTTTCTATTTTTTCCATATTTTGTCAGCCTCAAGGTACTCCCTCCCAGATATGGACAAGGTGCCCTGTAAAGATGAAAATATTTTAGAGGTCAGGGATGATTCCAACTTCCATGTCAGACTGCAGGCCACTTGAGTCAGTGGAAGCTGTGATGTGATAGGGAAGGAAGGAGTACAGAGGGAAGAACTTCTGTTTTCTAACATTTGAGGTTCTGTGCTGAGAGACTTATTAAGTCTTTTCTCCAAGGGCAGAAGCAAGCACAGGGGTCTTGATTACTGATTCAATTTCATTGCTGCTAATTGATCTGTTCAACTTTTCTGTTTCTTACTAATGCAGGTTTGGGAGGTTATATTTCTAAGAATTTATCCATTTCTTCTTAGTTGTCCAATTCGTTGGCATATAGTTTTTCATAACATTCCCTTAAAATCCTTTCTATTGCTGTGGTGTCAGTTATTTCTCTTTGTGATTTCCAGCTTTAAGTTCTCTCTCTCTCTCTCTCTCTCTCCTCTCTCCTCTCTCTCTCTCTCCTCTCTCCTCTCTCCTCTCTCCTCTCCCCTCTCCTCTGTTTTTGAGGACTCTGGCCAGAGGTTTATCAATTCTGTTGATCTTTTTAAAGAACTAGCAGCTCTTGGTTTCATTGATCCATTCTATCAGGGTTTCTATGTTTGTTTATAGTTTCTATTTCATTTATTTTTGCCCTAATGTTTATTTTTTCCTTCCTTTTACTGGTTTTGGGTTTTGTTTGTTCTTTTATTAGCTCCCTTGGGTATAAGGTTAGGTTGGTTGAAATTTTTATTGCATCTTGAGGTAGGCCTGTACTGCTCTAAACTTCCCTGTTAGAACCATTTTTGCTGCATCCCAAAGATTTTGGACCACCATGTATTTTTTTTTTAATTTCCTCTTTGGTTTCTTGATTGACTCATTCATTGTTTAGTAGCATGTTATTTAGCCTCCATGTATTTGTGTTTTTTTCCAGACATTTTATTGTGGTTGATTTCTAGTTTCATAGAGTTTTGCCCAGAAAAAGATGTATGGTGTGATTTAGATATTTTTTGATTTGCTGAGACTTGTTTTGTGGCCTAGTATGCGATCTTTTGTTCCATGTGCACTTGAGAAGATTATATATTCTATTTTAGGATGGAATGTTCTGAATATATCTGTTAAAACCTATGTGATCCAATATGTCACTTAAAGTCACTGTTTTCTTTATGATTTTGTGTGGGGATGATCTATCCCTTGATGTAAGTGGGGTGTTAAAATCCCCTGCTATTATTATATTATTGATTACTTCCTTTATGTTTGTTATTAACTGCTTTATGTATTTGGGTACTCTCATGCTGGATGCATAATTATTTGCAATTATTATATATTCTTCTTGGATTGGTCCTCTCATGATTATGTAATGTCCTTTATATCTTCTTAAAGTCTTTGTTTTAAAGTCTATTTTGGGGGCGCCTGGGTGACTCAGTTGGTTGAGCATCTGAATCTTAATGTTGGCTCAAGTCATGATCCAAGGGTCATGGGATCAAGCCCCATGTCAGGCTCCCCACTGAGCATGGAGTCTGTTTAAGGTTTTCTCTCTCTCCCTCTGCCCCTTGCCACTACTCATGGTCTCTTTCAGAAGAAGGAAGGAAGGAAGGGAGGAAGGAAGGAAGAGAAAAGAAAAAAGAAAAAGTCTATTTTGTTTGATAGAAGTACTCCTACTCCAGCTTTCTTTTCACTTCCATTTGCATGATAATTGCTTTTCCATCCCTTCACTTTCAATCTGCAGGCATCTTTAGGTCTGAAGAGTCTCTTGTAGGCAGTGTATGGATGGGTCTTGCTTTTTTTTTTTTTCAACGTTTATTTATTTTTGGGACAGAGAGAGACAGAGCATGAACGGGCGAGGGGCAGAGAGAGAGGGAGACACAGAATCGGAAACAGGCTCCAGGCTCTGAGCCATCAGCCCAGAGCCCGACGCGGGGCTCAAACTCACGGACCGCGAGATCGTGACCTGGCTGAAGTCGGACGCTTTAACCGACTGCGCCACCCAGGCGCCCCGGGTCTTGCTTTTTTAATCCATTTTGTAACTCTGTGGCTTTTGATTAGAGCATTTAGTCCCTTTACATTCAAAATAACTGTTGATATTGATAACTATTGATAGGTATGTACTTATTGCCATTTTGCTACTTGTTTTATGGGTTTTTGTAGTTCTTCTCTGTTTCTTTTCTTACTATCTTCTCTCACAGTGGGCTAGCTTTCTTTAGTGATATACTTGGAATATCTTTATTCCAAGATATATCCAAAGATATATCCAAAGATAAAGTGATATCTTTAGTGATATACTTGTCTTTATTTTTTGCATATCTATTACTAGTTTTTGATTTGTGATTACCATTAGGTTTATATAGGATATCTTATGTCTAAAGCTCTCTATATTTAGTTGAGGGTAACATAAGTTTGAACCCATTCTTTACTCCTCTTCCCCCAAGTTTTAGGTATATGGTGTCACACTTTACATCCTTTTATTTTGTGAATCCCTTGACTGATTTTTATAGATACAGTTTTACTGCTTTTGTGATTCCTTTTCTTACTCCTACTTATGGTCTTTCCTTTTAACTGAAGTATCCCCTTTAACATTTTTTGTATAGATGGTTGAGTGGTGGTAAATTCCTTTAACTTTTGTCTAGGATACTCTTTACTCTCCTTCCACTCTCAATAATAGCCTTACTGGATAGAGTATTCTTGGTTGTAGGTTTTTTCTTTCAGGACTTTGGATTTTTCATACTACTCCGTTCTAGTCTACAAAATTTTTGCTGAAAAATCAGCAGATAGCCTTATGGACTTTCCCTTGTATATATAACTTATTTTTCTTTTAACCTTGTGCTTTTATAATTTCCTATCACTACTTCTGCCATTTTAATCACTGTCTCTCTCAGGCTGATTTTGTTGGGCTGTCAGTATCTCCTAGATCTGGATTTACTAGATGTTTCCTTCCCCAAATTAAGTAAGTTTTCAGCTATTATTTCTTTAAATAAATTTTCTGCTCCCTTTTCTCTTTTTCTTCTGAGATCCCTATAATGCAAATGTTATTATGCTTAATGGTGTTGCTGAGTTAACTTAGCCTATTCTTTTATTTATTCTATTTATTTTTTTCTCTCTCTCCTGTTCAACTTGATTGATTTCCATTACTCTGTCCTCCAGGTCACTGATCATTCTTCTGCTTACTCTCATCTACTATTCATTCCCTCTGGTGTATTTTTAACTTCACTTACTGAGTTCTTCATCTCTGACTGGTTCTTTTTACATTTTCTCTTCATTAAGGGTCTCACTAAGGTCTTCCACTCTTTTCTCAAGTCCAGTGAGTATCTTTATGACCATTACTTGAAATTCTCTATCAGGCACATTACTTAGCTCTGTTTCATTTAGCATTCTTGCTGTGATTTTGTCATGTTCTTTCATTGGGGATATATTCCTCTATCTCATTTTGTCTGTCTTTCTATTTCTATGTGTTTGGAAAGTCAGCTATGCCTCCTGCTCTTGCAAGCAGTGGCATTATGAAGAAGTCCTGTAGTGCCCTGCAGTGCAATGCCCCCTGTTCACCAGAGACTGGTGCTTCAGGGGTGTCTTATATGTATGCTGTATATGCCCTACTATTGTGACTGAGCTGTGTTTGCCTTCAATCCAGTCATCTGCAATGGTTCTTTGCCTGTTGTAGGCAGGGTTTAGTCCCTGTGTTATTGCGCCAGTCTAGGGCTGCCTTGGGCTTGAGTTGAGACAACCAGCTGTTTGCCAAAGATTCAGTAGCACTGAACTGCAGGGCGCTTTCCCTGCTTTGTCCCATTGAAACTTCTGTTGGTATGCAGACCTGTAATCAGACCAGATGTCTGCCCCTAGCCTACTGTCGGGGCTGCAGTTGGACTGGTGTGTATGTGTGATTATCTTCCCCTCTCCTTGGGGCAGGAAGCACTTTGGAGTGGTACTGGTCCCTGTAGAGGCTGCCTGTACACTGCCAGACTTATGGAAATGCTTTGGGTGGGCTCCAGGCAAGGACTATTTGAGGGGGCAGGTACAAAAGAGAATTCAGGGTGAAGGAGCACTTGCTTGCAAGGTTTATGCAGGACTGATGTGGGAAGGGACTATGTCCACAGTAGAACATGGGGCAGGACAGAAGCATTAGCAAGGTTTGGGCTGGTCTGCTGTGGGAGACCAGGAACCAAAGCCTAGCTGGTAGGGCATGTCTGTAGGAGAATGCAGTGACAGGGTGCACTGTTAGCAAGTTAGCGAGTGTTGGTGCTGTGCTGGTTTCCACAGGTGTCCATGTCTCGGCTCTGGGTGGGGAGGGAAACAGTACCCGCCAACTCCTTTATTCCTAGAGAAGTCTCCCAAGGATCCCTGCCCCTCCAGTACACACTCTGAGA